TGGGCAGATGAGCTGGAGTGGAAAACATCTGCTCTGTGCATCCTGGGTCATGGTGATGATTTATAACTTTAAGTAGATCTTAAATTTGCAGGTAGAACATTTCCTACCCAGACATACCAAAGATGACACCAGTTCCTCCTGGTCCCCCCAGGTCCCTCCGAAAAGAGCAAGCGCAGCGTCGCTGCTGTCCTTCTGAGCAGGGATGATTCAGCAGAGGGTGAGTAGCAGAAAGGGGCTGTGGTGCTGCTGTAGTCTCTGCAGACACAAACTACGTGAACACATTCATCACATCCTGAGAATGCACCCCAGATTTTCTTTTACGTTTGTTGTTATTACAGGCTGCTTGAGCTTGAAAGGTAGAAATTGACTGTATCCAACTAAGCCTGTCTTGCATAGTCAGCAATTCCCAGCTACCACTGGGGGCTATAAGGGGCTTTCCTGGTCTTCATAGGAGTGAGCTTGGCAGAGCTGATTTAGGGTGTGGGAAGCAGTCAGATTTCACATCCACTCTGTGCGTTATTCTCTTGGCAAAGCTGCAGAAGCTGGTGGGTTCATCGTGCAGGTGCTGCCAAAGGTCTTGTCTGAAACCATGTCTCAGTGGAGGTGTGACTGGTGCCACCAGTGAAAAAGTGCCACCTGGATTGGAGTGTCCCAGCTGACTTCAGCTGGCTGAGAGGTGGCAGGTGGCCCAATTTTCACTCTCTCTCTGAAACTGTTTGGTGATGCTAATTGGGGAAATGAGGCTTTTCTTACATTAAGAGAAGGACCACACTTTAAACAATGCTGTGCTCCAGATCGAGGAGGGCTTCACTGAGTTCTTTAGTCCCATTTTGTGAAGGCTGAAGAGAGAGGAAAGCTGTCAAGCCTTCTCTGCAGCTGGTATTTCTGAGGTGCTCTCAGGGCAGTTGGGTGCAATCTTCTCTGAACAGCCTCTGAAATGCCAGGGCCAAGTGACAGAGTTGCCATGATTGTATCATGAGTCTTGCATTAGTTGCGTGTTTTTCTTGGAGTCAGTTCCTGGAATCACACAATTAGGTAGGAACGTGTACTTTAATTTTCAAGGAAGAAAGTCCATTTCAGGATCTCCCTGTCCCCAAACCTTCACAACTAAAGGGAACTGAGAAGGTCATAGGTCAGCTTACCTGGCCGTTTTGAACTATTGGTGTTTTGCAGCCAGATTCATGCTTTTAAAACTGGACAGTAAAATTCTTTCTCCATTTTCTGAAGCATAGTCCTTTCTAGCACTTCAAGGGCTGAATACATAAAAAACCAACTGCTCTTTCCTTGTCTCCTCTCTAACCCAGCACAGAGGCCATCAGAGTAGCTCCTTGTGTCTGCACAAATGATCCATTTTGGGTGCACAAAACAAGTTCTGCAGGGCTTAAATGATTTTGGCGAGATCTTAGCGGCCTTTGAGGCTCTTGGCCTGTTTGGTGTTGCCCACACCTCATTGACTTCAAGGAGATTCCTGCTGGCTGTTAGTCTGGGAAAGGAGATTTGAAAGCTGATGAGTTTAATGAAGTAAAGCTACCACTCAGCTGCTGCACAGGAATTTGTGCAGCACCGGAACCTCTGCGGTGGTCCTTAGCCTGTGGCCTTGCCACTTAAGAGTGAAGCACATCTCTTCCCAAAGTTAAAGATGCTGAGGTCGGCACTGAAGGCTTTGCTGTGCAGCACAGCTGAAAACTAAATAGGTTCCTACATGTGCCAGGAGAGCCTAAAGCTGGGCTTCAGGGCTGGCTGAGGATTCAGCAGCCGAGCATCCAGGGTCATCCAGCACCCATCCCCTGTGCTTCACTGCCCTCAGGCTCTGCTAGCAGCGACTGGGTGCAAAGCAAGAGAGAACAAAAAGGCAGGCAGCACTGGGAGGGCATTTCTTCTACTGCTTCTTGAGTTTTTGGAATTCATTATTCTCAAAGCCATCATAAAATCAGCTGTTTCAAAATCTCTGCTTCATCTTTGGTTTTCCACACCCATGCCCTGTCTCGGGGCATTCTGCAATGAAAACCTGGCTCTTCCCAGTTTGAGGTGGAAGAAAAGACTCATCTCTTGCATTGCAGCAGCAATGAAAGGGGGAAAGAAAAGGCTTTTTGGGCAAGTCTGTGCCTGGAAAGCCCCATGGACTGTGGCTGAAGGAGGCTGTTCCTTGGAGAGCAGGGATGTGACAGTCTGGCAGCAGGTTCATGGGTAGCACCCCCAGCCCCTGCTGTTGGCTGTTCCCCAGGAAGCAGGAGCATCCCCACCCCGGGGCTTTGGGTGGGTGAGCAATGGAGTGGCTCACCTCAAAAGGACCCAGAGCCCCCTGGGGTGCACTTGCCCATCTGCCTTCAGGTTAGATGCTGCTTTTGCATCTAAAAAAGGATTCAAGGTATTTGGGCTCCCTAGGAGGGAGGGATGAGCTGGATGGGGAGGATGCTGGCAATTACCCTGGTGGGAACACCTCTCCTTCACTGTGATAACCTCATCAAGGTGATGAGCCCTTAATAGAAGGATTTTAACCCAGGGTAAAATAACGGTGATGACATCCCTAAGCAGAGGGATTTTTGTCTTTTAATTGCCAGATGGATAGAGATGAGTCGTGGCAAGGTCTCTGGCAGTAGCCAGGGACCACCTTTCTGAGCAGGTCTGCATAGCCTGTGCTGTTCCTTGCTCCCTCCTCCTTGGACAGAAAGGTGTGATAATCCCTTAGGCATTTAATTACAGCTGGCAGGCTGGAGCAAACAGTCTTCTGCCCTGTTTACATCAGCCCGACCTGCCAATGATGCATGGTAGCAATCCCACAAGGGTCGTGTCTGACAGGCTCTGTCCCCCACAGCCAAGCCCTCTTGGGGAGCCCCACAGCTCCCCCAGAGCCGTGCCCTGGGTGCAGGCCCCTGCCCTCCCCTGCCACGGCAAGGCTTGGCTCTGGCAGGCTTGTTTTTCTAGCATGTCAAGTCTGTCTAAAGTACCTAGGTGGGGCCGGGCAGGACTAATGGCCTTCCTGGGGACAGAGCCAGCAACCAGCCTTCCACAGCGATGGGCACCCCCAGTGCCCGGGGCCCCCTGGCCTGGGGGGGTGTGGAGGGAGCAGAGGGCTGGGCTGCAGGGCTGTGTCCAGCCCGGCTCTGTCCCGGGGCCCTGGGCAACGGGCACCTTCTGCTCAGCAGCCAGTGACGTGGGTGTGTGCGTGAGCCGTGGCACGGCCGGGGTGGCTGTGGCCAGACGTGGGGCCGCCGCTGGGATGGAGGCCTGCTTTGTTTCGGATGGACCAGCTGGATTTGGGGGGCCTCGTTGTCTATCCTTGTTGCCACATCCCTGGCAGGGTTGGGGCGAGGGCAGCAGCCAGGTTGCTGGGGGGGGGGGG